ACCAAGCTGGTCTCACAGGTTATACTACTGTTTGACTGAATTCTTTGTCAAATACATTAAATGTTTTGCTCTATCATCTCCCACCCACCCAAAACTATTACTTTTCCTCTCTCCCAACAATGTTGCACACTTTCTTAACTGGGTGATCTTCATTTTGTCCTTTTAAACTTACCCAATAATTTACCATGATCTGCTGTCTTCTAATACATAATGGCATCTCTCCTCACTCTACTTGTAATGCACATACTGGGGTAGATTTAACTGCCCCTAAGCAAATTCTCAAAGCTCTTGCTTGAATAATATCCGATTTGTTTAACCTAGTTTTGCTTGCTGATCCATACACCACACTCCCATAATCTATTCTAGATCGAATTAATGACACATAAATATTTTTAAGTGTTTCAAAGTTTGCACCCCATGTCAACCCTGTCAAACACCTCATAATGTTAAGAACCTTTTTACTTTTTTCCATAATGTGATCTATATGAATTTCCCAAGTTAGTTTCTTATCAAAGACTACCTTCCAAAAAACGAAAACTATCAACCGTTTCTAATTCTTTCCCATATAAATATAATTTTTTATCATTTCTAACTTTCTTATTTGTAAAGAACATTACTTTCGTCTTCTCAATTGAAAATTTAAAACCCCACTCAATTTCCCACTTACTTACTCTATCTATACCTTCCTGAAGTTTTAAAATAAGATGTTCTATATTTCTTCCCCTTTTCCATAATGCTCCATCATCAGCAAATAGTGATTTCCCAAAACTAACTGGTATTTCATTAAAAATATCATTTATCATCACCGAGAATAATGTTGGACTTATCACACTTCCTTGAGGAGTTCCATTTTCTATTTGACACGATTTTGAAACATGAGAACCTATTTTAACTTGGATATTTCTATCACATAAAAAATCCCATATCCAGTTAAACATACTCCCTCCTATTCCTATCTGGTGTAGTTTAATCATTAATCCTTCTCTCCATAACATGTCATATGCTTTTTCCACATCAAAAAATACAGCCACAGCAGTTTCCTTATTAATTTGAGCTTTTCTAATATCATCTTCTAAACACAATACTGGATCCATTGTTCCTCTCCCTCTACGAAAGCCACTCTGATGCGAGAGCAATTCCTTGATTCCAAATATTGTACTAGCCTCTCATTCACCATCCTTTCCATCAGCTTACATATATTAGATGTTAAAGCAATCGGCCTATAGTTTTCAGGATTACTATGATCTTTCCCAGGTTTCTTTATCGGAATAACAACCGCTTCTTTCCATTCACTAGGTATTCTTCCCTCTTTCCAAATCTTATTATACAAATTTAATATCTTCTTCAAAACATCATCACTCACATGTCTTAGCATAATAACATACTTCATCTTTACCTGGAGCACTATTTCTTGTTCTACCCAAAGCTCTTTTCAATTCTCCAATAGAGAAATGTTCGTTCATCAATTCATCCTTAATAATTCCCTTTCTTCTTAAAATTCCACCATTTTCTCTTTTAGTTTTCTCTCTCCCCTTTATTTCTTTATCTGATAATTTTTTCCCACTATGAATCTCCACAAATGTGCTTACTAAAATATCAGCTTTTTCCCTGTCATTTATTGCTATTATACTGTTTCTATTTAATATTGGATAACTCCATTCTCTTCTATCTCCCCCCATTTTTTTGATCATTCCCCAAACTTCCCCAATCTTTGTACTATTACCAATTTTGTCACAAAAATTTCTCCAATATATCCTTTTTGCTGTTCTTATTGTTTTCCTTACTTTAGCCTGTGATTTTTTATATTCGATCAAATGTTGAAAATTATGAGACTTTTTAACCAGTTTAAATGCTTTATTTCTTTCTTTGACCACTGTTCTACACTCTTCATTTACAGTCTATACAGTAGTGTTGATTGTTCATTAATGTGTACTATCCTTAATAAAGATTAAAGATGAAAAGATTAAAGATCGTCCCACCATGGAACTAATTTCCTCCTATTCTTCCCTGATGTTTTTGGAACAGACCTTTCAACAGCTTCTAATATACCCTGACTAATCTCACGACTCATATTTTCTATACTCAAATCATTTTTTATATTTGATATCTTATTCTCACATAAGTTATTACATTTTTCCCAATTTGCTTTCCTAAATATCTACTTCCCTCCCAACATTTTAAGATTCTGCACCTGACCCATCCTTATTTTGCTGACTATAATGTAATGGTCACTACCAAAGGATTTATTTTTAACTTGCCAATCACATAATGGAGCTAAACAACTGGAAACAAATGTTAAATCCACTACAGATTCCTTACCTGAATTAATATCAATTCTTGTCTTTTCGCCATTATTCAAACATACAAGATTATTACTATCTAGAAATTCCTCTAAAACCTTACCATTATAATCAACTTTTGTACTTCCCCATAAGGAGTGATGAGCATTAAAATCGCCACACCAAATAATATTTCCTTTCATACCCATCTCATCAAGTTTACTTATTTCAAGCTTTTTACAGGGATTATAAAAATTTATAATCAAAATTACCTTCTTTTCTATCCATATTTCAAGTTCTACATACTCCAATTCCCCTTTCTTTTCAACTATTTTATAAGGAATACCTTCCTTAATCAGAGAAAGACACCCTCCCCCATTTCCTTCTTTCTATCATACCTTACTACAATATATCCGTTCACTCTGAAATCCAAAAAAGGCTTCAGCCATGTTTCTTGTATACAAACTATATCAGGTTTAACTTTCTGCTCATAAATAAACTGTTTAAAATCTTGACCGTTTGACAATAGACTCCTTGCATTCCATTGTAAGATTAAAATTATCCTTCCTGACTCGTTTGACTACATAGTTCTCCTCTTATATTTATTTATATATATTTATCAACCCTAAACTATGGCATGCCGCCTTAACAATAATCTGAATCCTTTCTGTCTTTGATCTCACATCTGAGGTTGCATTTATCACTCCTGCAATAAAAGTCACCATTTTCTTTTTTTCCTCCTCTATTTTCCTATCAACCTTTTCCATAACCTTTTGGATTATAGATTTTTCCCCTGTCAAAGATTTCTCATTTTGTTCTTCTTTCCCAACCATTTTACATGCTTCTGCATATGTTACTTTCTGCACAATCTTTGTTTTCTGTATCACTACTTGCTGTTTTTTCAAAGAAAACCTCCTTTGGTACCTCTTTCGTTTCAAACTCCACTAGGACAGTTTCTGTTTCAACTTTCTCTGGACCTTTTGTCATTCATTGTGCTCCTTTTACTTCCCTATTTCTTTCTTTTAAATGTCCAACCAAATCTTTCATATTTACACTGAAAGGCACTCCAGTGATAACTCCTTTACTTCCAATATTTCTTTTTTCACCCACTCTAACGACTGTTCTAACTTTTACTTTACATACCCATCCTAATTTCTTCGCTTTTACCACCTGATCTTCCGAATTACACCCAATCAACAGATTTCCGTCTCTCAAAACTTTAGCATGTTTATATCTCCAATATGCCCTTTAAGTGCTTTTGTTAATTTCAGTGGATCAATCTTCTTAACCCCTTCTTCTTCATCAAATCTTATAATAATGTTCATATTTGGGTTTTTTGATTCTTCTACTTTTTCTCAGATCCTTCACTCTCAGTGTCTTTCGTACTTTTCTCATTTCGCTTTTTCCTCTTCCTTTCAGCAGCGTTGTTTCTTTCCACCCTTCACCTTCTCCCACTCTTTCCCTTCATCTTGATCATCCATCCCTTCCTCTTCACTACAATCTACATTATTTCCGCCAGTTTTCCCCAAATCCATCTCATCCATACTTTAATTTAAGTCCCATTTATCCGTCAAAACTCAAATCCAAACTTTCCTGTCTTCGCTCTCAACCTCCGTCAAATAGCGTCGGGCGTCTCCCTCAGCTGTCTCCGTTCAGCTCAATCACGCCGTCCCCAAATGAAAATGACGATTATCTGTCTCCGTAATGAATCAACTGCGCTAAAACACAGCGTCTTCCTTATATGGGCAAACGGAAGAGTGCATAATGGACTTAATGCCCCGGCTACAGTAGCTTTTGTGGGTAGAAAATGTTTCACAAATTCCCGCAGTGAGACACGGAAAGGGTGAGCTGGTTTCATGAGCTGTTTCCGGTTTAAAAGCGGTTTTCTGCAGTGAACAACATTCAAATTTAACGCGAGGGAGGCGTGGCTTTAAGTTGTAGGCGGTATGGCAAGCCGTTTTAACATAAATTCAGTTTCGTCTAACTAGATATTTAAAAATGCATTTTGACAAGACAAAACTACGTTTTTACTATCTTGAATAGTAATTTAAGATTTCTGTAATCATAGATACGAAAAAGGATTTTCAAAAATGCACAACGTTCATATTGAAAATGCTTTAAGAAAAACAATTGTAGCTTTTCAAAGCTGTTTTTAAGTGCATTCGGTTTGTAGGAAATTAATAAACAGGAAATTGTTTGCAGATTTTAGTTTCTTTATAGTTGATGAAGTTTTGTGTTCCCCGCATTTCCAACATTGCCGAGCTCTTTCTACGTTGTAGCTTTTATTGACAGTTTTATGCAGGAAATGTAAAATTCTGCAGGCAACTGTTTGGACAGAACAAACGGGGTCATTCTTAATTCGGATATCTAAAATTGTAATTTTGACTGGTCATAATTCAATTCAAGATATTTTAAAATGTAATTACGGATGTGCCCCGATGTGTCGTAATTTGAGACATCTTGAAAGGACTTTTGACTCGTCAGAATGTAATTGAAGATATCTTGAATTATTATTCTTGCTAGTCAGAATGTAAATGCAGATTTCTTAAATTACCATTCCGAATAGTCGAATAGATTTGTCTTCTAGTCAAAAAGCATTTTTATATATCTAGAATGTCAGGCGAAATCGAGTTTATGTTAAAACTGCTTGTCGTCAACCTTTTCCCCGGAGAAGGCGGGGAAAACGTTGACTTCTCTCCTTCTCTCTCTACAGACAGAGAGAAAAGGAGAGAAGGCGGGCAAAACGTTGTGCTGTTCGAACAAGAAACTAAAGTGTCTCCTCCATTTTGAAGCAACCAGGTGTTGACGCAGGTAAAGGATTAAAACTAACCGAGTAAGTTTATTATATTTTATGTTGGTTCATTGTCTAATTTAGGCTGTAGGATAAAACATTTTAGTGAAGTACGTGTTTCTCTTGAATAATTGTAAAACACAATAATTAAATCCTAAATCTATCTGCTTTATATCTATAATAACTTTAAAACTCTGTAAGTTGTTTTCGACCCGCTCTGCTAGATGAATGTTTTATGTTTCTACTGTCAGACTTTGGTTTAATGTAGTGATTCTGCAGAACAAAGACAGAAATCAGTCATTTTGTGTTTTTATCATGAAAAACATTATGGCAGCTATTGCATTTATTGTCTTTACATTTAACAATAAGGTTAAAATGTAAAGATACATATTTCTGATTTCAACCTTTTTTAAAGCAGGAAGGTTAAAAAGTTTCCTGCTATAAAAAAGCTGCTTTGATCAAAGAGTCTGCAAAATGTGTTTCATATTTAACAGTCTGAAAATGTTTCATTTGTTTATCCAGATGTAATTTATAACAAAACTATTTCTGAGAATATAAGTGTTCAACACTGAAGTATGGTGACTGTTCAGAAACAGGAACCACCCATGTCTTTGTGACAGTTTTTCCAACTGGGTGTGGAGTTAAAGGCCCGACTGACTGTCTGACTGCACCCAAAGCTCAAATTACAATCAGTTTCTTCACAGCAGATCTACAGAATATAAACTGAAATCCTAGGCTCCAAAATAATTGAATATATCCATTAAACACAGTTATAACTAAATGAATGGGATTAAATGTGTGTTGAGACATTAAATGAATGTTTTCTCAGCAACAACTGAGTTCATATTTACTATTTATTACATTGTAGAAATAAATAAGAGCAGCAAAAAAATTTTATTTTGTTAAATAGTTATTGTGACTAATTCTAGAAAGTGAACTAACATATTATATAGATTCACACAAAGAAATTTTATCATTGTAGAATATATTGTAAAATATTAGAAAATCCTGCTGTGACACTAATCAGTGAATTTTCTCTAAACAGCTGCAAAGGTTTCCTGAGTCTCTAAGTTTCTCAGTCTGAGATCATTTAGAAGATTTGCTGACTGAACAGAAAACATGTTGACTCCACATGATGAGATGTTTATTTATATTGAACATTTGTCTCCATGTAAATGTAACCGGATCTTTTCTGCGTTGTGCTGATTTGAAGTGATCAGGCTGTGACACAGTTTGTCTTTAAAAGGATGGCTGCTTGATTTATTCTGACAAGAACATAAAACCACCGTGATAGAGGGTGTTGCTCCAAGTCCTACACAAAACAAGAGTACAAAACAGAAATCAACGTAATAAATCTATCAATAAACTGGATGTCAGTTTATTTAGATGGAAAATAAATAGATAGTAATAAACAGTACAACAAGACAAAAGGGGAGGGCCAAAGGAACGCAAACATTTTAAGAACAATACCACAGAAGAAGAAATAAAGAGGAGGGGCTTCTGCTTTTAAAGTAACACGGTTAAAACAATGACAGAGATTTTCAATCAGGTAGGGAACAATACAAATAAGCAAAAAAAAAAAGACTAATTATAACAAAAGAGAAATGCAACCTGGTTACATTGCAAGTAAGAAAGAAAAGTTATGCAATAATAAGAAGCTGGTTGTTCAGAGCGTTTATCAAAAGTTTAGTGGAAGGAAAAGCTGTACTAAATCACATTGCAGCAGGGATAACTGCAGCCTTGTTAAAAAGCCACTCAGAAGGAGAAACCTGAGTCTGGATTCAGAGCAACTCAGTTCACTCCTTCATAAGAGTTGGATTCACTCAGATGAATCCTAGTTAAAGCATTTTATCCAGACTGAGGAGAAGTCCTTTTTTCAGATTAAAGTAAAGTTTATATTTAATTCATGTATCAAGTCCTTAAGTCTCCAGAATGAAACTATTTAGAAATTAACAGATTTCTTAGAAATCTGAAATCTCTGTTTAGCTTAAATCGATCTTATGTAATTTTATAATTGACTGTAAATTATAATTAATGTTGCAAGAAGAATTACAGAATAAAACTCTGTGATGAATCTATATAAAATGTATCTAACAGTGAAATTAACAAACGATGCAATACTTGTACATTGTTTTACATTGACTTAATATGCTTTTCATTATTTAGCATTAAAAAAACAGTAAAGCTCACTTACTGATGTTTCATGATTATAAGCAACTGATTTCACTCAGAAAGTTTTATAATAAAATGTTCAGCAGCTGCAGAGAATGAAAACAATCCTGGTAACTGAGAGTCGCTCTATGAGTTTATGACCACAAGGTGGCAGTAATGATCTCTTTCTAAACAGCTTTTATTAGACCTGAACCATAGACCCAGTTGTTCCTTGTACTGATGTTCTGCTGCCTCTCCTCCTCTTCCTCTCTCAGGATGAAGATGATGTCCAGCATCCTGCTGCTCCTCATCCTCAGCTCATGTCTCTGTGGTCAGTCTCCATCTTGTCTTTGTGACAGAAAGCTCTCTAGATGGAGCTGAAAGACTCCCATGTTCCAGTTCTCAGTGTGTCTGCTCCTCTCTTTCCCTCTCTGTCTCCTCAGCAGCAACATTTGTAGTGAATGTGACACAGAGCAGCTATCAGGCAGAGGAGAAGCAGAACATCACTCTGGAGTGGACCTTCACCACCAAGACTCAGGGAACCTGGAAGAATCTGTTCATCTACTGTGAAGCGAACACGGATCATGGAGTCTTAGTTCTCTATCAGGTTCATGATGGAGTTGAGATTCCAGAGTCTCAGGATGATCAGTTTTCAGGACGAGTCCAGAGCAACAAAGACGTCCTCAGAGAAGGACGAATCAGACTCCATGTGTCCAGACTGAGGACTGAAGACTCTGGTCTGTATCTGTGTGACGTGAAAACTGAAGATGGATCCAACAAGGCAGGATGTCGACTCAACGTTACTGGTGAGTTATTTGGGGTTTATTTACTTTCTATTAACTTTTTATGTCTTTATTGAGCATAAATTAAACTATTTATTAGTGAAATGTTTTAGCTTCTCTTTATTAAAGCTCATGTTTGATCACGTCTCTAAGCTCTAGAGGTCAGAAGGTCGACCTCAGCATAGAGTTGTGAATTCAGCTGATCTAATAGATGAAAACTGATTTTATCATAATTCTTCTGAAGCCAAAAGTGCAACATCTTAATTTTATTTCATTATTAAAGTGAAACTGTGAAGGGAAAAGTTAAATTGGTACAAGGGATAAATTATCTACAGTTTCTGTGCCAGCTTATATCATCAGTAGAAACATATTTAGTATCTTCAATACTTGGGCCAGTTCCAGTCTATGGGCCACTGGCCCCTTTAGATTCATCCTGAGTACGGCCATGTAAAGGACTGGACTGATGTAACAACACATTTCCACAGGCTGATGAAAGTAAAGGGTTCAGTGGATTTTCTGCTGAGAGCAAAACATGCAGCACTTCTATGTTCATCTGTAAGCAAATAAAACTCAACCAACCAGAGTGAGGAGAAGGCTCTTAGTGCTGACAATCACCATCTTGTACGTGCTGCTCATACCTTTTCCTTGCTCTTGGCTTCAGCTCCTCCTCCACAGTGAAGCTGCTGTGATTGAGCTTTGAGTGCATAAATGTTAGAAATGTAAATAAAGGACGACGACCAGAGCTTCTCAGGGCCATGATCACCACAGTCCGAGTCTCTCACAGGGAGGGGAACTCGCAGCAATGGCCCACTTTACTTTATGTGGCTGTTTTTCCTCCACTCTCTGGGAGAGGAGGAAGAGGTTAGTTGGCCAGGCTTAAAATAAATTATTGACAATTTCTGACTATTTTTGAGACACACAAGACTGGAGCATAAAACCCATAGAATCAGATTTAGCCGCAATAAAATAAAGATATTTATGCATTTTTACAAAGTAAATTGAAATGTTAAACAATGTAAATTTTTTTTTTTTTTTTTCCATTGTGAAATATTTCAATCAAATTTAATAATGTTGCTATTCAAACTCCCAAAACAATCAAATTTTAATATTCCCAAACAAATGCTAACATCTAAATCTATGGTTTGTGTTAAAACTGAAGCATTATGGGGGTTTCGCCCCTTTTTTATTGGACCAGGTCTGGTTAGAGTAACCAAAAATTGAAGTCCAGTCCAGAACTACTTTGTTGTGTGGAGAACCTCAAGGGTCAGTACTGAGACCAGTTTTATTTAATTCGTATATAAACAGAAGCAAAGTGTCTAATGTGTTAAATTTGTGTTATTTGCTGACGACACAAATATTCTAGTCTGGTGAAAACTTACAACTTCTTTCCATAGAAATCAGTAAATGAAAGAAAAGGTTTGACAATAACAAATTATCACTATATGGGACAAAAATAAAATTATGTTTTTGGAAACTGCTACAAAAACAATTCAAGTTCAGATAGAGTTCACATGCACAGTGAATTAGTTTTCCCCATGAGTCATCATCTTACCAGCTGAAAGACAAACTGCTGTGATATTTTCCTGTACCTGAATAGTTCATCTGTAATCAGTGCTGGTTGCCTCCATGATTATCAGGCTCTCCAGAAAACCAGTCTGAGGAGACGAAACGGTTCCCATCGCTCCACAACCAAATGCTCAGCTGGAAGACAATAAACAGCAGATGATACATTTCATTCAATGTTTCCCAACAAATAAAATGTAGTGGCATCAAAACCTGCTGTGCATCAGAGCCTCCAGTCCAGGCTGGTTTGGTTTAGTGACCTGCTGCAGTTATTATAATCTGAATCTGATGATATTCATTCATGTCCTGAACTGATGCAAAGTTTCCCCCCATGGACAGACAGTTTCTCTACAGACATAACAATTAGAAGTAGCTGGATTTCTTCAGCAAAGAATAAAATAAATTAAGATCACAATGTTACTGGAAATCACCTCGACTCTTGACCAAGTCATGGGTTTCTGAACATATTGAAAGCAGAAACATTAGGTGGCGCTCTTGCACCGTTTCTGTTGGGATTTTTGTGACAATCTTAAAATATGTAAATTTCCAGAAGGTTTGATGCGTTTGCCAAGTTTGGTGAGTTTTCAATATAGTAAAACCAAATCAACTAAAAGACTGTTAAAGGGAGTCCTGACTATTTTCTCCAGTAAAATATCTGGTTTTATTTTTCATGAGTTAAACATCAGTAATTTTACAGAACTAAATAAAAAATTAGTATATTTACATTTATAAACAAAAAAAAAAAAACTTTATTTTGAAAAACCTCTATTAATGGGACATCTATATTTTTTCACAATTGTAAAGATCCTACAGGAGAATAAGTATGAATGTTATCTGAACAGCAAACAGGAATATTAGTGTTTATTTATCATTATCTTTGTTTATTCTTCCAGAAGTGAAGGTTGTTGGTCATGATCCGATTCATGCAAAGGTTGGAGACGACGTCATTCTGCCATGTCATCTGGAGCCTCCATTTGACGTGAGCAAACTTACAATCGAATGGAGATTCAAGGGTCAAAGAATCCATGTGCAACGCAGTCAAATTAAATATGAAATTTTAGATCCAAAGTACAATAACCAAACCTTCATGTTCCCTGATGAGTTTAAAAAAGGCAACATTTCCCTCAAATTGACCAAAGTCACCAAGGAGGATGAAGGGAATTATATTTGCTTTGTTCCCAAACTGCAAAGTCAAGTCAAGAAGGGAAACGTTACTCTAATACTTGGTGAGTTTTATAAAGTTAAGATCATTAAGACAAACTAGGTAAATATATTAATGTCTATAACTCTTAATGTAATTATTCAACAGATGAAGGCGACTCGACTGATACTGGAGGTAAATATGTTTAACTAGGTAACCAGTGGTTACTGGCCCTCTGACTCAGTTTCAGACTTTCTTTGTTACCTGCAGCCATTGAGGCTCATTGGGTTGAATATTCATCTTCAGGCTTTTCTGTTATAACATGTTGATGTGCAGCTGTTGTAAAATATGAGCTGAGAAATTTTGATTCTTGAGAATAAAAACCCTTTAAAAACATTGTTGCATTTCTTTCAAATATGTTATTCAAACCTAATTAAATATATTCTTACAGATCTAAAAGATCTGTACAAATGTAACCAGAGTTTGAGAGGAACAGAGCGGCCATTTTGTCAAAGCCAACCTGTTTGTCCTGTTATTAGCAGCCAGATCCAAATGGAAAACAAACCAAAACATGAAGCTGCATGTACTTGCATTGATCTATCTGTGAATCTATTTTAATTTTTCTTGCACTAGTTTTGTGCCACTGCAGGCCCGTTTCAGAACACAAAAACACTAATGATACTCTGACCCAAGATAATGGACGGTACTGGTTCTGTTAGATCTTTGTGACTGTCCAGTACAGACTTGTGTACTGGTTTTGATCCAGTAGATCACAATAATCTCTTTATGTTTTGTGCTGTAGGGATCGAGTAAACAGCACCAGGCAAGTTTCATTTATATTTGAAAAATTGTAGTTTGAATAATTTTTTTCCTCAAACCACAGCCAGACATGGAGTACCACAGAGTTCACCTCTTGGACCAGTTTGGTTTTCTATCTTACAGATTTGCACATTGGCCCCAACGAGACAAAGATCAGTCCAAAATCATTCCTAACAAATCAGGAAACTGGGGAATCTATTTAGCAGGCTTACTTTTATTCCACAAATCAAATATATATATATTGAAAACTGGATTTGCCCCTCCTTGGGCTGCCACCTTATCGTGGTAGAGGGGTCTGCCCCAACAATCCCAGGTGCTATACTGTCTGGGGCTTTTTGCCCCTGGTAGGGTCATCCAAGGCAGACATGTTGTAGGTGACGGACCAGACAAAGCACAGCCCTAAGACCCTGATGACGAAAGAAAAATCTGGACTTGGTGTTCCCTCGCCCAGCCATGGGTCACTGGGGCCCCACTCTGGAGACATAGGGTTAGGGTTAGGGTAAAGTGACAGTTTTTATACATTACATTTGTTTCAGAAAAACACAAAACTGTTTTATGACTTCATATTTTTAATTACATTTTTGTGAATCTGTGAATCCTGTGGTTTTATATCATGTAATGTGTGATCGTGTTACTGTGAACTGCTGAACTGAATTAAACTTTAGGGATACATAAAGTTTTGTAAAGTGCAGAAGTTTAATAAATATAACTAATGAGATTTAAAGAAGATTTATTTAGTACAATAAAATAATAACCTGTCTGTGTTGTTGTTCTGCTGCAGGAAGATAAAATCTAATTAATCCTCTGTGTTGTGACAGAAACTCTCTGGTCTTTATGTGAGCCACTTTTTGCAGATGAAAAATCATTTATTAAAGTTATTGAAGCTCATTTTAACAGTAGAAAATGAAAACATTTCAGGAAATTACTTTAACGCACTGGTTTTACAAACTCCAGAAAAATCTCATAATAGACAGCAGCATAAATAGTTATGTTTATTCAAAAATACAGTGAAAACTGAAAAAGCTTTAATGGTATTTTACTTAAAATAAAATGTATTAAAAGCATAAAATCTGAGTTTCTCATTATTCTAGTTTAACAAACTAATTAAAAGTCTTTGATCTCATGACAGTGAAGGTGTTTTATCTGCAACACGTTCATGAAGCTCCCTTTTCTTACTGTATTAGGAAATGTATTTTAATTATATATCAGTGATTATTACAGCACCACCAAGACTCAGGGAACCTGGAGGGAAACTTTTATTTACTGCAGCTTGTTGGCTCCTCATCAAGAACTAGTTCTCTATCAGGTCTATGAAGGAGTTGAGATTCCAGAGTCTCAGGATGATCAGTTTTCAGGACGAGTCCAGAGCGACAAAGACGTCCTCAGAGAAGGACGAATCAGACTCCATGTGTCCAGACTGAGGACTGAAGACTCTGGTCTGTATCTGTGTGACGTGAGAACTGAAGATGGATTCAACTCTGGAAGATGTCGACTCAGCGTTTCTGGTGATAAGAAATATTTTACTCTGATAAAATCCTGAGTTGTTGAATTTCTTCATCTTCTCCATGAATCCTCCTGGATCTCAGTTTCCATCAAATATTAATAAATATTTCTGATTTCTCTCCCAGCAGCTGCTGATCAGATCCAAACTCAGAGACCAAGATTGACTCCAGAACCAGAAGAACAAGGAAGGAACATCATCATCATCACTGTGGGACTAACAGCAAGAGCTCTAATTGGACTTTTCTATCGTTTTTTAGTGAAATGTTTTCTGTCAGGAGAAAGAGACTAATATGTTATTGACAAAGAAACGTCATTAACACAAAATACATCTCTTTATGTTAAAGAGACATAAAAGAGACAATAGAAAGGCACTTTCTGTTGCTTTCTCAACTTTGATCAAAAGTTACAGAATGTTGATCTGTAACATTAAACTCTTTTCTCTGATGTTTATGTAAATGAAGGATTTTAAAACTGAAACAATTTTATTAGATAGAAAATAATATAAGATGTTATTTATCTGTAAGTTCAGTGTTTCAGGTTTTATGTGATTTTCTTCCTTCTGTTCATGAACCAGCAGCAAAGTGATGTTCTGGTTCTGGTTCTGACCCGCTGGCTGCTGGAAACAGACGTTCTGGACTCAACCAGAACCAGAACCTGAAACCAGAACCTGGAACCAGAACCAGAACCAGAACCCTGATCTTAGATGCTTTAAGCTGCAGCAGCTGATGAACCAGTGAAGTTCTGGATCTGCTCCACTGGTTCTGGTTCTGAAGGTTCTGCTGTAAATAAATCCAGATTTCTTCCCTCATGTTGTCAGAACCTGATTCTCTGCAGAACCTTTTAACATCCAACATGAGCTGCAGCCGTTTGGACCTCAGCAGAACCAGTCCAGCTGCTGGATCTGACCTCAGACCAGTTCTACCATCAAGGGTTCTACTGGAGCGCCACCTGGTGGTGGAGTTAGGAACTGTGAGCTTATAGAGCTGAAGGTCTGAGTGATGGACCGACTGGATCCGTTCAGTTTGATTTGTTCCGTTTTTATATTTTGTTCAATATCAATATTGATCCCAATTGTAATTTTAATTTGTGTATTAAAATGATAAAATTATTAATTCTGCTGTTTTTTCTCTTCTATATTAACATTAACACACAGAAGTTTTATAAAAATAATATTAGTATGTAGATGTTATAATTACAAGTCAACATGTATTATACAGACTGTCAGCCCATATCATGCCAGCACCACCTCTGTGTTTCAAGAGTAAAAACTGTTGAAATAATCATTTCTATCTGTTTTCATGGATTTATCATAAATGAGTAAAAATATTATAATCACAACTTTTTTCAAAACTGAATCAGAAACTAAAATATTTTCCAGCTGCTCTGAGATTTCTGCAGACTGTATGTAGAAATTAACCTTTAAACTCCACATGTTCACACAGACAGACGTTTGCAATCAGTTTATTGATTTACTGACATTAAAGTTACAGAAAAACATGAAGGAAATATTTTCAGTTTGTGAATATTTCTTTGAATTTGTCATATAGATCAGATGTGATTATATAGATATAATGATGACTTGTCCTATTTTTTAACCCTGAACGTTTTCTTCTAGCAAATGAACTGGAACATGAGAATAAATGACAGAAAGAGAAAATGTTTCATTCAATATGAGAGCAAAGCTGCTGGTTTGATGCTGTTTTTCACATCAGTGATCAATAAAGTTTAATGAGAGAATCTGGAGATTTAAAGTCGTTGGATTGAACCACCAACAGATTATATAGAATAATTAAACCATTCAGGTCAACATTTGATCCTAATGAATATTTTTTATATGTTTTAACAGCCAGAAATGACAATTTGTTTGTTTTTGCTCATTTTATGAAGTCAGTTGTGCATCAGGCCAGCAGATCGTCATCATGTTGAAAACTCAGTTTAAAGATTTAAAGATGAGATTCTTTGATTTAGAAACTTTCATCGTCTCAAATTCATTCAGCATTTTTATTTGTTCTGCTGCTTTGAACTGAAACTGAACATCTTGGCAGCTGAGTCGTCATTTCAGTGACTTGAAACAACATCATCAATAATTATTGTCTCAATATTACAGATAAAGACAAAGAAACTGTAACATCTGCAGTTCAGTTCTTCAAACTGAGGCTGAACTAAAAATCTTATTTACGGCTGTGTTTCCAGTTTGGGTCATTTTCCAGTTTCTGACCACAAGGGGGCAGCAGTATTTTTTACCAAAATGATCATCATGCATCTTTGCATTTCTGGCATTTAGAGTTTTCCTCTACAAAACACCATTTCCCACAATGCACTTCTCCTCTATGACCACTTTAACAGCTTAAAGCCATTCAGACGTGATCTAGTTTTCTGTTTGAGGCCAAAGAGACTCAGAGTTTCTTTGGCCTCAAACCGCTGAACTGAAGGATGAGCCATACATGGTCCGCCATGTTTCCTGCTTTACAGCCATGGAAACCGGTTAATACCTTTTCCTCAATGGAAGTAGCTTATTCAAGGATTCAGTTTGTTGCTTATTGACACTTTGTTGATTGACGTCTCAAAATTAGACGAATCACATCACAGTTAAACATCAGTAACATCTGACCTTGTTCCATGCATAGCATTTTTGTAAACAAGCTTATTTAAAATAAGACCTCAGTCTACATTCCTACATCCGAGCCGTCGAGGTAGCTAGTTCAGGGATTTGGTGTCTGGCTCAACGACACCACAACCTGTGACATGGCCGTAAATCGTCTCACCCAACCTTTTGGCCAAAGGAAGATCGACGGTCGGCCATGTTTATGCGCTACTTCTATGAGGTAGAAACTGTTTTCTCAGTGTAATATTTCCCTCCCGTGATTCCACTGATAGCAGCACCGTTTCTGTAGCGCTGTCGGCAAAGTGCAAAGTGCAAAGTGCATTTGTAACGAACCAAAATATTTCCAGAACAAGTTCTGCTCATTCTGCAGAACTCAGTTTCTGGAAACCATAAAACACACAGAAGCTGGAGCTCCAAGTCCAATAGGGACTGAAGACGGGGCAATCTTTGGGGAGGTCATAAGGTCATAAGGTCATAAGGCCTCCTCTAACACAAAATCGAGTCATGATAAAAAAAATAAAAAATGTTAGGAGTAATTCTGATTGTGGATTTTTGGTGAATCTATGTCCTGGAGTTTGATGAGCTGAACCTGAAACCTGAACCAGCAGCAGAGTGGAGGGCGAGTCGTCCTGCTGCCAGCAGGAACAAACCCAAACCAACATAAAGTCCAAACCTCCCGCGATCCACCAGCTCTTGGGTTTCCTCCTGAGTCTGAGGAATGGAAGCTGCAAAGAAAGAATCAAGAATAAATCAGTAGCTGCGTCTCCATTGATGTTAAAACTCTGTAAAATGAAATTATGAAAGAAAATTTGCTTCATGGAAACAACTCGATTTTGGAAAAACGCATTTAAGAAGAAGAAGAAGAATTTTCTGTGTCTTAACATTTGACTCATCCACGTTTTTAATGACTTATTGCATAAATAAAATTATTCACATGTGATTTTAATTGTATTTCTTATTCAATGGAAACACTGTATCTGTGAAATGTTTTTTTTTCTTCATTTTTTACATTTATGAAATATCAAAGACAGTTTGTAATAAACATTTGTAATGAAAATGCAGCTTTTCAGACCCAAAAATAAAGTGGAAAACATAAAAAAGACCAGAAAATAAAGATTAAACCATTTTTATCAGTAAAAACTCACCTCTGACTACAAGCTCCCAGTCTCTATGGTCTCTTCTTCCGTCAATGACGACGTAGCACCGGTACCGACCCGCATCGCTGAGCCTCACTTCAGCCAGGAGACACCGGATCCCTCCATTCCTGACCAGCTTGGGGTCACAGTGCAGTCGACCTTTGAACTCATCATCTGTGTACGTCTCATCTCTGCTGTCGAACCGATAAATCCTCCTCAGCGGCTCCATGCTCATCAGATCGACGTAGAGCCGGTCAGGCGGCGTGGCGTTCGGATCCGGACGGATCCATTTCAGCGTGACGTTGGAGTTCTCCTCGGCCTCGTAGACGTCCAGAGTTTCATTCACGGTGGGCAGAGATTTTCCTGCAGGAGTCAGAAAGAGACAGAAGCAAGAAATCACAACACAAATCCTCAGAAACACTTTGATGAAGTAGTTCTGATAATCTGATGCATCATCACACCTCCAAATATCCAGGATTTGATGTTTCAGACGCTGACGGACGATTTAAAACATTTTCTCACGAAGCTTCAGGTAAAAGTTTATTTAACGGCTCAGATGAAAAGTTGTGATCAAAACACTGACAGGAAATAGATCCAGTGATATCAGATCTGCTAATTATTCCTAGAAACCTGAGACGTCCTTCATGCTCTGAGTTAAAGTTCAGTTTCAAACATTCAGTCATATTTTCTCACCCAGAGCAGCAGAACTCAGAATCAGAACCAGGAGAGACGAGGAGGTCCGGTTCAGCATTGATGCTCTGTTAGAAATAATAAAACACATTAATTATAGACATTATTTCTACAAGTTATCACATGCAGAGACCAAAACATTTTACTCCAATAGCAGTAGCACTACTTCAACATATTTATACTCCAGTCAGAATAAAATAATGTTTGGTAAAAAGTTACTGATCAAATTATCAATCATTTAATATTTAAAATTACATAATCAGACAAACCAAAACATAAAGATTTGAGGAATTTTTGATATTTTAAGGAAAAAAATGACAATAATTTATTTAAGCAACAACAAAATAACTAAATTAGGATTTTTTTTCCCAAATCAGTTTCTTTCCATAAAAAACTTATAAAACTTTAACAAAAACTGCAGCTCTGTGTTTAATTCTTGGTTAAAACATGTTTGGTTTTTATTCAGTGGGTAGAAAATCCAGAAATTTGACTCAAGTTAGAAAAACATCATAATAAAAAAACTCAAGTAAAAGTCAAAAGTAATAAAAACAACTAAAGGTACATTTGTTCTAAAAAGTTACTCAAGTGAATGTAACTGAGTAAATGTAACTAGTTACTATTGATCTCTGATCACGTGATAATTACAGAGGATCATCATTTCAATATGGCGTCCAGATGAAACACAAAATGGAGGAAAATAAAATGTTTCACTTTGATCAGATCTGCAGACGCTTAATTAGTTTAAAGTTTAGTTTTAGTTTAAAAGTCATGCAGAAAACAGAGAGAAGTTTTAATTATTATAAAACTGTTAAAAACATGTTTGATCAAAGTGAAACTAAACATCTTAGTTCACTGAGTGTTTCTCTAATGATCGCTGTTACAGAAACTGACGTTTTTCTGCAAACATGACGCACAGAAAATATGCATTTATATCAAATATTTAATAACTAAAAGCTGAAATGACCTTTGAACCGAAACCTTCATGCAAAAAGCAGCGCAGTCATGAACAATAGGCCAGCGGTTCAGTTTGATTTCAAGCCAGAAGTGGTAAAGAACTTGGCTTTACATCACTGATAAAACACGCCTCTACCAAAGATATGACTCATCAGCCTTGACTTGAGGCTGTTATTTCAACACCATGCGGTCATATAACGGTAGGGGGCGCTGTAATGTCTGAATGAACAGAGGAGGTCCAGCCTTTACTCGTATCTCTTTATTGTTGTGCTGTTTTTGGTTACCACAGAGAAGGGCTTACCAGAAACCATTCTCTCGTCGTGGTGAATACTAGTGATGGGCAGATGAGGCCTCATTGGGTGTGTGGCACATTTCCCAAACTGTGTTGAAACTGTGTTGAAACTGTGTTGCTGTATCGCTCAATGGCGACATCTGCTGGATTTAAATAGTAATTGCAGGCAACATCAATAAAGACTGGAAACAGACTGAACAAGGTTCATTCACACATTTTTATTTAGAAACATCAGCTGCCTTAGCATCTTTGGGCCAAGGTCGCCAAGGCAAAAAAAAAGACTTGTATTTTTAAATTTTTTTTACTGTTTACAAATCAGCCGAGATGAATGCTGCAGTTTCTTCCTTCTGACGTATTTCTATCTTGAAAAATTTAAAGTGCAATTAGATCATAAATTCATCAAATCAGACAATATTCCTTCATCGGAGAAGCGACACATTAATAGTTTCTGGTCCTTTTTATGAAACTTGAATATAATGCGATTATTCACTTTAAAGCATTTTCATTTTGCCCAAATTTCTCTTGCTTTTGCTGGTCCATATTGGCTGTATGGATTTTCCTTCTTGACCTCAAACCGGTTTAAAAAAGTAAATATAGTTGCGTAAAGCGTAATATAGTAAGAGGTTCAAGAATGGACAATTTGAACCTTTTTGGTATTAATGATTTTTTTAGGACGACATTTAGTGCAATGTTATACAACAACGTGACGTGAACCTGTATAATCACGTTGTTGTATACATTTCACCTACAATAGAAATAAAAGTTAATCCATGTAAACTAATTAAAGTATTCTTCAGAAAGAAATTGGAATAATCCGACAGAAGAATGATCAATAGTGGAAACGAGAACGGAATAATAATTGACCTTATCCTCCGTGATAAGATCAAAATGATCAAACGGGAGAAAACTTTCTCTTCCTCGATTGATCATAGTTTTCACTGACAAGCCAAACAACACAAACTATCTCCATCCAACAAAACCCACCAACATGTCGATACATTTTCTGTTCATAAATACAATTTGGCGCCTTCACAACCAAACGACACAGGAATTGTATCGGTCACGTGGTTTTCCTTAAAGAGATACGCGCACCGACACGGGGCTTCGCCTTGTTTGCTCGGCGCATGCGCGGAGGTTTCAGTGTCGTCAGACTCATCACTATGAATCAGCTTCTTAGTACAAGAAGGACAGAAAATACAAGGTTTTTGTAAGCCTTAAGTTTTTCTTTCAGTAAGATCAGTGCTGAAAATGAGAAAAATAAATAGCACAGAAAATGCGGCCAACATGAAGAAAAAAAAGCCGTTACGATTCCTCTACTTCACAAACTATAGGTGCATCAACTGGTCATTATGCAAAAGAAAAAAGAATTGGGAGGGAAATGCAGCTTATTTGGCATCTGAAGAGGGAGAGCTTTTAGTAAACTTGGTGATTAATGGGAGAAGTGAAACATGTGCATCTATTGGTGGAGATGAACAAACTCAGGCAAATCGGCTACCGACTTTGTTGCAGTCGATCAGTAGGTTGGGTCTAAACATTTGTTTCTCTCTCTCACTTTTTTGTAACGAGTAACTAAACCACACATTGAAAATGAAGAGGAGCAATTAAGTTCTGAAATGTAGTGAAGTAAAAGTGAAAGTTATCAAAAATTTTCATACTCGAGGAAAGTATGAAGTACTCCAAAATATACTTACGTAGTGAAGTATATTTACTTTGTTTCTATACAACACTGATAACGAGAATGTTTAAATAAATTAGAGCTCTAATTTACTATTTCCATAAAACATTAAATATGGCTTGTACTTTTAAGGTTCTGTTTCAAGTACAGTTGAATCCAAAATGCTTTACTCTGCATTCAGTCATTCATCCATTCATACTCATCCATTCATACACTGATGGTGACCAATACTGGATAACAGCCTCTGCTGCCCTGCAGCAATTTGGCAGCAGCTGCTGCGGGTGATGCCACTGGCAGGTAAGGCAGGGGAAGTGCCTTGCTCAAAGGCACTAAGAAAGAGGCAGATTTAAACCAGCAACATGCTAATTTCAGGACAAACTCCTAACACTGTTGTCACCACTGGTTTCATCTGAGTAACAGAAAAACAGATCATTGTTTCTGGTTATAGACCAGAAATGATTTAAAACATGAATCTGAAGATATTCAATAAACGACTCAAAGTCATTATTAAAATATAATATGTCAAACAAAACAAGTTCAAACAAAAATGTTCTTTGTCAAAAAGTTTGGTTTCTTCTCCTTTTCTTTCTAAACCAAAACATCAATATTATCATTAGAACCATTAAAGTTACTGTCAGTCCCACAGTGATGATGATGATGATGATGATGATGCTCCTTCCTCGTCTCTCTGGTTCTGGTCTCCTTTTCTATGTATAGCAGAAAGATTATGTTTGAATGATGAATGTTAAAAAGCATCAACATCTCAGATGTTTTTCATTCAAACTAAATAAATTCATAAATTTCACTTTAAAAATTGATGACTGTCATAAAATGGAGGAATGAGGTAAATAATGTGGGTGAGAGGTTCAGTCTTTCTCATTTCAGAGATAACAAGGACCGGCTTTGATCATCTCTAAACTTAAATGTTTTTAGGAGAATTTAAAAGTTTTATCAAAATGCAGAGGTTCTTATCCACCCATTAGTGTCTTCATGCATCGTTACTGCAATGCTCTGCTTTCTGGTTACTGAGGAAAAGTTTTATGGATCTGCAGACGGTTCAAAACGTGGCTGCTTGCATTTTACCAAAACCAGGAAATATGCTCACATTTCTACTTCTGTAATCTTTTCACCGGTTGCTTCAGGTTCAAACAGACTTTAACGTTTTGCTGCTCATTTATAAGACTTAAAGTTTTCTGATCTTCTGCAGCTTTATGTCCTACTCCATGTCCTCCCATCTTAAGACACTGACCTTTTCAAAAGTCCTAAAACCAGAGGAAAACATCTGGAGAGAATGTTTTTTCCTTTTGTGCCTCATCATCATGTCTGCTTTCAAGACATCAGACAATCATGTTTTTGAATGATTCTAAGTTAAAGTCGCATTTGTTCCCTCTGATTTATGTGTATTAATTTTATACTATATTTTTTTAACTGTTTAATCTGATTTGTTTTGATCTCCTTATTGTTTAGCATTTTGAATAATGTTGTCATAATAACTTGTTGTATAAAGTTTGACTTTTTACATATTTAATGTGACAACAGCAGTTTAATAGAGTCTCGGACAAACGAACAACTTACAACTAGAAGTTTTTTTAAAATTTAAAAACTACCCAGCAAGTCATAATAAAATACATAAATATTGGGTTATTCATGTAATAAGAGCATTAAAAATAAGATTCACTGACAGAAATTAATTAAAAACCTTTTGAAGGCTCAAGCTGGGGATCAAATTGTCAACTTTTGCATGAATTAAAAAAAACTTTTCAAGACAAATAATTTATCAAAAGCTGAGAAAGAAACTGAACTACAGAAACATCTTTGGACTTAAGATGTTCTTTAACTTACATGATTCTTACATCTTTTTTCAATCTAAAAAAATATTAATATGAACGGCTTCCTTCTGGGTTTAAGACATACAATTTTTTATATATTATTCACAGTTATAAACATGTAACAGTTTTCATACCAACAAACTTTGAATAGACTTTAGATCAGGTGGAAGATTCACTTTGGTTTTGTTTTCCTTGATCCTGTAAAGGTTTTCCTTCAGCTTCATCGTCTAGATTGACATTTTCTCTATGATCTATAAAACACAAAACATATTATTAACATCATCTGATTGTTTGATTTCCCAAAGTTACATTATTATTAAGATGACTTGAATAAAAACAGAATTTTGTCATTTTTAGTTTTTATAAATAAAATTATCATCAATCAGCAAAAAATAAAGTAAAGCATTAAAGTTTTGACTTTTTCTAAAATTATTTGTCTCATTTGTTTCCAGATGTTTGTTGGCAAAAATAAAACAATCCATAAACCAAAGCATATTACAATAAAATGTAAACATGGTCATATTAAACTGAATATTTAATGTATATTCAGATGTCAGATTAAAAGAATATAACTTTAATGAAGGCAGAAGAAATGTCTCTCATTAAGCTCTAATTATAATCTTAAACATGATTTATTAGCTATCAGCTTCTCTGTTGAAGAAAACACAACAAAGAAGAGAAAATCTGAGTTATGTGCAATAAATAATAGTTTAATTTGTAGCATTTTATGAATGAATGTTGTTGTTTTCTGGCTGTTTCTCTTTAGTGCGTCTGGATCCACAGGTTGGACCCTCTGGTCTAAACCTTCATATCCTGTTCAGGTCAGTGGGAATACTGGTGAGCCATGATGAACCCAGTCAGGTCACCAGTTCATTGCTGCTACATCAATGATCTAATATCTAGTCAGTCACATTCAGTCACTAACAAGGAAGTTCAGCTTCCTGGTTTGATGCTCAGCTGTGATGTTCAGTGACTGCAGCAACACAAACACATTCATTCATCTATATGAAGTAACTGCTTAGTTTATCACTGAGCAGGAAAATAAAACAGGAAATAATTAACATAAGTTATTAATCTGGAATTGATCCATTTCCATACCTCCATCATTTCTCTCATGTATTGGTGCTCCAGCGTATATAACTGTTCACAAGAGAAAATAGACAACAGTGAATATTTGTCTTAACACACAATATAAATGAGGCGACAATATTTAATTCTCCTTATCAGTTTTTAACTGGTAAAAATAATTAATCAACCTGATCAGGCAGAAAGGCTACAATAAACAACAAAACCAAAAGAGAAAAAATGAAACTAATAATGGTTTAGTTTCTTGTTTTCTTTTCTTTTCTCATCAAAGATCAATAGATATTGATAAATATGTGAAACTTTTCTTATTCATGTTTATCAAGAGTTTTACTTCTATTCACCTTCAGATCAGTTATTGCAAATGATTAAAAACTATATTTTTCATCAATTGGAAATATGCATGTATGGAGATAATCATTAATTCAACAAAATCCTGCATGACTTAAAAAGACAAAGACTGACTTACTTTGTTCACCTCTGTAGTGACGTAGAACACGCTGGATTTGAGATCGCTTGATTATGATGACGACGATGATGATGACGGTGAAGAAGAAGATGAGTGCAACAACAACACCAGCAATAACTCCAGGATCAGTTCCTGTGACAAGAAAGAAAAATGAGTTTTTATTATATTCTGTTTTTGAATATTTTGAATTCAATTTTAAATATTTTTGATTAATTAATGAGATCAAAGAACCAACAGTCACCTCATCATTCAGGTGTCACAGTTAATGCACCACACACACACACACACACACACACACACACACCACACACACACACACACAACACACACACACACACACACACACACACACACACACACACACACACATGCAGATCTAAAGGTCTTCAGGTTTTATCTTCCCAGCTGAACATCAACATGTTATAACAGGAAAAGCCTGAAGATGAATATTCAACCCAATGAGCCTCAATGGCTGCAGGTAACAAAGAAAGTCTGAAACTGAGTCAGAGGGCCACTAACCACTGGTTACCTAGTTAAACATATTTACCTCCAGGATCAGTCGAGTCGCGTTGGGATCCATTTTCATCTGTTGAAGAATTACATTAAGAGTTATAGACATTAATATATTTATCTAGTTTGTCTTAAATGATCTTAACTTTATAAAACACCAAGTATTAGAGTAACGTTTCCTTCCTGGCTTGACTTTGCAGTTTGGGAACAAAGCAAATATAATTCCCTTCATCCTCCTTGGTGACTTTGGTCAATTTGAGGGAAATGTTGCCTTTTTTAAACTCATCAGGGAACATGAAGGTTCGGTTAATGTACTTTGGATCTAAAATTTCATAATCTTTAATTCGACTGCTTTGCACATGGATTCTTTGACCCTTGAATCTCCATTCCATTGTAAGTTTGCTCACGTCAAATGGAGGCTTCAGATGACATGGCAGAATGACGTCGTCTCCAACCTTTGCATGAATCGGATCATGACCAACAACCTTCACTGGAACTGGAAGAATAAACAAAGATAATGATAAATAAACACTAATATTCCTGTTTGTTGTTCAGATAACATTCAAACTTATTCTCCTGTAGGATCTTTACAATTGTGAAACAATGAATCTATCCCATTAATAGAGGTTTTTCAAAATAAATGTTTTTTAATTTGTTTATAAATGTAAATATATTAATTTCTTATTTACTTCTGTAAAATTTCTCATGTTTAACTCATAAAAAATAAAACCAGATATTTTACTGGAGAAAATAGTCAGGACTCCCTTTAACAGTCTTTTAGTTGATTTGGTTTTACTATATTGAAAACTCACCAAACTTGGCAGACGCATCAAACCTTCAGGAAATTTACATATTTTAAGATTGTCACAAAAATCCCAACAGAAACGGTGCAAGAGCGCCACCTAATGTTGCTGCTTTCAATATGTTCAGAAACCCATGACTTGGTCAAGAGCCGAGGTGATTTCCAGTAACATTGTGATCTTAATTTATTGTATTCTTTACTGAAGAAATCCAGCTACTTCTAATTGTTATGTCTGTAGAGAAACTGTCTGTCCATGGGGGGAAACTTTGCATCAGTTCAGGACATGAATGAATATCATCAGATTCAGATTATAATAACTGCAGCAGGTCACTAAACCAAACCAGCCTGGACTGGAGGCTCTGATGCACAGCAGGTTTGATGCCACTACATTTTATTTGTTGGGAAACATTGAATGAAATGTATCATCTGCTGTTTATTGTCTTCCAGCTGAGCATTTGGTTGTGGAGCGATGGGAACCGTTTCGTCTCCTCAGACTGGTTTTCTGGAGAGCCTGATAATCATGGAGGCAACCAGCACTGATTACAGATGAACTATTCAGGTACAGGAAAATATCACAGCAGTTTGTCTTTCAGCTGGTCAGATGATGACTCATGGGGAAAACTAATTTACTGTGCATGTGAACTTTTTAGGTGACCTGCATAAATATTTACTGAATTTACAGCAGGAGCTTCTATTATTATTCTAGTAGTAAAATAGTTTTTATGATGTGATGTGTGACTGATTTGTTTTCTAGATGAAAAGTGCTGGGATGACTTGGGATGTTCTGATTGGCTGCTTTCTGTCTGCATCAAGACAACATGAAAACTGTGAGGTTACTAAAAAGGTCTGATGTGTGAAGCAGAACCAGAGGAGGATCAGAGCTGCTGTTTCTGTGTTTCTGCCTTCAGAAAACCCAAAAGATATTTCTGCTTCTTTACATTCTGTAATTTCTGTCTTTAATGCAACATAAGGAATGAAGCAACAAGCAAAGAGCAGCTGGATTCTCTCTCTGTAATAAGATCAGACTGAATGAGTTATAATAAAGAATCTTCTATGCAAAACTTTCTTCTCTTCTTTGGCCAAGAAAAAATGAAACTTTTATGGTTAATTCTGTCTTTGTGTTGTTTTGTTTTCTGAAATGTTTCCTGTTTCTTGAAAATCAGAATTTCTCAATAATTGGCTGATATAATTATTAAAAATTACAACATTATTAATGAGATTATTAAAAATGTTCAACTTTCTCTAGTTTAATCAGGAATTATAAGTCAAACTTGTCAATATCTCATAAACAAATGAATAACCTGATCGGGTTTTGTGGGTCAATAGAAACCCAGCATGTTGTAATATTTTATCTTTGTATGGAAGCCCAGAAAGTCCAAATGAAAAAGATAAAATGATCTTATCCCATGGGTGTCAAACTCATTTTCATTTAGGACAATATAAAGATCATGAATGTCCTCAAAGTACTGAATGAATTGATAAAATCATCAGTTTGTCTGTAGACATGTTGCATATTATTATCCTCATATTTTCCAGATGTGTTCGATGCTGGATGGCAGAAAGATGACTCTTTGATCTGCCATCCATAGCTGTGATGCTGCAGCATAAAAACTGTTAAAACTTGAACCAGGAAATGTGGGTATTATTAAATTAGTGCAGCGCCACAGCAAAGGTTAAAATAACGCAGAACAACCGTTGAAGAAAAACTCAAAAAGACTCATTTTCTTTTCTTCTTCATCTGTTGGCTGCGCTAGATACAGACCCATTGTCATAGCAACTGACTGACAACAGCTTCACTGTGTCAGGAAGCAACACCAAAAAACCTGCAAACTATTCCCATACATGGAGTATTATGTCTTCAGGCTTCATGTTTTATTTATGATCATTAATAAGTGATTATCTGAACACAGCAGTGATTGATTAGTTGATTAGTTTAAACACTTTCACTACTGATGATCTTTTGTTTTTAACAGAAATGAACATAAATTCCTCAGCACATCTACATGTTCAGGTTGTCAAAGTCAAGCTAGCATGACTAGCCTACTTCCTGCTCCCTTTTTTCTAAACTGAATCTTTTCCTGACCTGTGAAATGTGAAACTCTTGGACCTTTTTATCTATTGTCATAGTGAGTCTCTTTTTCTTTACCATGTCAGCCATACATGGGACTTTCAACATCAATGTGTGTTTGGACCAGGACTTTCCCACCAACCATTCTCAGGTGGTGATAATGGTTCTCCAGCCTGGTTCTCAGAGCAGACACACCACAGGGCTGTGTGTTCAGTCTGGTTCTGTTTGTACTGTTGACCCATGACTGTGCAGCCATTCATGTCTCTAACAGGGTTCTAAGGTTGCAGATGATGCAGCCGCAGTGGGTCTGATACGGCCCGGTCTCTAGAGGCTGGTCCAGTCCAGTCTCTAGTCATTATGCAGGTTCAGATGCTGATTGGCTGTGGAGCAGCAAAGATATCGGACCAGCAGATGATGACCAATGAGATGCTGATGAGGTCCATCTATAAAAGACTCTGCAGCTTTTCCTCCAGTGGGGCAGCTTGTATGAAGAGACTTTGTCAAACTGAACATTTTGCTGCTTGTTAGTGTTTTTGAAGACTTTGAAGATTTGAAATATTTTGTTCTGCTAGAAGATTGTGTTTGAGGAGTTTGCTATTTTCTTAGAGTTCATTTTTTCTTTTGAGTTGTTTTGAGTTTAAATTAACATGTTCATTATTTTGGTCATTTAATAAAGTTACACTTGACCTGCTTTAATTTTGTTAGTTCTAGTTTTGAGTTTTATTTGGGTTACAGGTTGTTTGTAAAACCTTCTTTCTGTAATAAAACATTTTATATTCTACCTTTTCTTTCTCTGAACACATTTATGTTTCCTAGACTGAACCTGATAACGATAATGAGACCCTGTCCATAGAGGAGATCCAGCTCCTGACCCAGAGGTTTTCACTGAAACATCCAGTATTGCAAAAGTTACTCTGCAGAACCAGGACGTCCTGAGTCATATCACGTTGGACCAGCCCTGAACAAAACACACTTCTGTGTGTGAATGACAGCTTTAGGAAAACAGCCACATAAAGTAAAGTGGGCCATTGCTGTGAGTTCCCCTCCCTGTGAGAGACTCGGACCGTGGTGATCATGGCCCTGAGAAGCTCTGGTCGTCGTCCTTTATTTACATTTCTAACCTTTATGCACTCAAAGCTCAATCACAGCAGCTTCACTGTGGAGGAGGAGCTGAAGCCAAGAGCAAGGAAAAGGTATGAGCAGCACGTACAAGATGGTGATTGTCAGCACTAAAAGCCTTCTCCTGACTCTGGTTGGTTGAGTTTTATTTGCTTACAGATGAACATAGAAGTGCTGCATGTTTTGCTCTCAGCAGAAAATCCACTGAACCCTTTACTTTCATCATCCTGTGGGAATGTGTTGTTACATCAGTCCAGTCCTTTACATGGCCGTACTCAGGATGAATCTAAAGGGGCCAGTGGCCCCATAGACTGGAACTGGCCCAAGTATTGAAGATACTAAATATGTTTCTAGTGATGATATAAGCTGGCACAGAAACTGTAGATAATTTATCCCTTGTACCAATTTAACTTTTATCTTCACAGTTTCACTTTAATAATGAAATAAAATAATAATGCATTTTTGGCTTCAGCAGAATTATGATAGAATCAGTTTTCATCTATTAGATCAGCTGAATTCCCAGGTGGATTTGGTCTAGAATCATCACTCTATGCTGAGGTCGACCTTCTGACCTCTAGAGCTTAGAGATGTGATCAAACATGAACTTTAATAAAGAGAAGCTAAAACATTTCACTAATAAATAGTTTCATTTATGCTCAATAAAGACATAAAAAGTTCAAAGAAAGTAAAAAAAAAAAAGCTGCTCTGACAAAATAACTCACCAGTAACGTTGAGTCGACATCTTCCAGAGTTGAATCCATCTTCAGTTTTCACGTCACACAGATACAGACCAGAGTCTTCAGTCCTCAGTCTGGACACATGGAGTCTGATTCGTCCTTCACTGAGGACGTCTTTGTCGCTCTGGACTCGTCCTGAAAACTGATCATCCTGAGACTCTGGAATCTCAACTCCTTCATGAACCTGATAGAGAACTCGCGGTTTATCAGGAGCCAACAAGCTGCAGACGATGAACAGTTCCCTGTGGGTTCCCTGAGTCTTGGTGGTGAAGGTCCACTCCAGAGTGATGCTCTGCTTCTCCTCTGCCTGATAGCTGCTCTGTGCCACATTCACTACAAATGTTGCTGCTGAGGAGACAGAGAGGGAAAGAGAGGAGCAGACACACTGAGAACTGGAACATGGGAGTCTTTCAGCTCCATCTAGAGAGCTTTCTGTCACAAAGACAAGATGGAGACTGACCACAGAGACATGAGCTGAGGATGAGGAGCAGCAGGATGCTGGACATCATCTTTAACAAAAACTGCAGGTTTGTGTTTAATTCTTGGTTAAAACATGTTTGGTTTTTATTCAGTGGGTAGAAAATCCAGAAATTTGACTCAAGTTAGAAAAACGTCGTAATAAAAACAACTAAAGGTACATTTGTTCTAAAAAGTTACTCAAGTTAATGTAACTGAGTAAATGTAACTAGTTACTATTGATCTCTGATCACGTGATGATTACAGAGGATCATCATTTCAATATGGCGTCCAGATGAAACACAAAATGGAGGAAAATAAAATGTTTCGCTTTGATCAGATCTGCAGACGCTTAATTAGTTTAAAGTTTAGTTTTAGTTTGAAAGTCATGCAGAAAACAGAGAGAAGTTTTAATTATTAAAAAATTAACAAATTTTTCTGTTACTTTTAACACGAGAAACAAATTAGATGTTAGTTTCAGTTTGAAATTAAACTGAAACTAAACATCTTTGTTAACTGAGTGTTTCTGAATCATCGCTGCTACACAGAAACGGACGTTTTTCCGCCAACATGACGCAGAGCAAATATTTAATAACTAAAAGCTGAAATGACCTTTGCACCGAAACCTTCATGTAAAAAGATTGTACGAACTCAGGGGGGTGAACATGTAACCCACCCCATTCTTTGGTTGTTCGTGGCTTGACAGGGTCAGAGACAGATGAGCAAGTGTCAACCTTTCTCCAGAAGTATGGTTCCATTAACCGTTACATTCACTTAGATGATCCTAAATCAGGTTTCCATAAAAACATGATTATTGAGTTTGCACATGAAACTGCCATGAAGACATTGGAACCATTGCTGCCTCTTCAGCTTCCAAGCACGACTCAAGCAGACATTGTGTATGAGTTAAAGGCTTTAGAAAGTGTCTACACCATAGATGCCAGAAGCAAAGCTACTAAAATGTACATGGAAATTGCCAGGCTGAGTGGAAGTTCACTAGGAGAAATGTTGAAGGAGGAATTTAAAAGTCTAGTTTCATCTGTCAAGTTCCTTTGCGCGATCACCTCAGACTGATCCAGAATCCTCAGCTCCACAGAGTCCTATCCCACAAAAAGACTCAACCAGCAAAAGAAATACCCCATCTTCTGAAAACCCTCAGTCAGTGATGCCTACAGATTCCCCGATTTTGACACCAGCAAGTGATCCAAGTAAGCCTCTCAACCCCTCCATTTTCAGAAAAACCTTATAGATCTCAGCCCCCCACAGACTTTGTCATTCTCATCTGAAACCACTACTACGCCAGTAATCGATGCTAATCCACATGCAGTTCAGCGAGTGGTGGTTGAGCATGTGGTGCGCAGCAATGACAACTCACCCAGTTTGCTTCACCCAGTAGACTCAGAGCTTTTTCAGGCAAGAGTCCAAGTCCAAGCCATGAAGCAGATTATGATACATGGCGTGCAAGTGTTGAAATTCTCATCAGAGATCCAACTGTGTCAGACTTGCATTGCACACATCGTATATTAGACAGTCTTCTTCCTCCTGCTTCTGAAATGATTAAACATTTGAGCCCACAGTCTAGTCCCTCAACTTATCTCAAGTTGCTTGACTCCGCCTACGGGACGGTTGAAGATGGTGACGAGCTTTATGCAAGGTTCATGAGCACGTTCAAGAGACTGCACACTGCTTTGAGCAAAACAATGAGACGTGGTGGTGTATCCGCTCCAGAGTTTGACCAACAGCTTTTAAAGCAGTTCTGTAGAGGCTGTTGGGAGAACGCTTTAATAGCCGATCTTCAGTTAGAACAAAAGATAGAAAAACCTCCTGCTTTTGCAGAATTGTTGCTCCTTCTTAGGACAGAAGAAGATAAACAGGCTGCAAAAATGACTCACATGCGAGAGCATTTCAACCATGCCAAGACTGATCTTGAGATGCTCAAGCAACAAATTGCTGACCTCAGCATTCAGGTGAAGAGCATTGTGACAGAGTCAAAAGCCAAAACAAGCTAAGCAACAAAAGACAAAGTCTGTTCCTCCAAGTGTCACACATGAAGCCCATGTGGTGAAATCAGAAACAAGCCGTCAGCATCCTTCCACAATTAAAGCAAATGGCAGACCACGACCCTGGTACTGTTTCCAGTGTGGAGAGGATGGCCATGTTGTTTCAGTCTGTGAAAATGCACTGAATCCTTCCCTTGCAGCAGCTAAGAAAAAAACAGCTGAAAGAAAAGCAGGCTGTTTGGGAAGCCTCTAATGCTTCTCAAAGTGAGACACATTTAAAGTAGTGTCTGCTCTCATAGAGCAGACACTAGCAATGATTTGCTTGAAGTGGAGAGAGCTAATGGCCAGTTTGTCCCCTATTTAGGATATGTTGAGCTTACCATCACTTTTCCTAAAGAGTTTGTTGGCTCTGATATTGAGATTAACACTCTGGCTTTGGTTATTCCTCACCTCCGCTCTGCAGCCCATGAACAGGTGCTTATAGGCACAAACGCACTTGACATTCTTTATGCGGATTACCAGAAACTTTCATCTTTTCAGCCTTTGATGAATGGCTATCAGGCTGTTCTCAAAATATATGTACTTGAGATATGACAAAGGGAGCTTATCCACAGCAGCCTTGGTTGTGCAGAACTAACGGGCAAGCTGCCTAAAGTTGTTCCTGCAAGGCAGACCGCTGTTGTTGAAGCGTTTGTTCCGTTTAATCGTTTGAACATTCAGAGAGATGTTATTCTTGAGCAACCATCAGCTTCTTCTCTACCGAGTGGTTTCCTCATTTCAGGGATTGCAGTGACTTTACCAAGCAAACACTCATGTCATATTCCTGTCATACTGAGAAATGACACCAATCATGACATAGTCATTCCCCACAAAACTATTGTGGCAAATGTTAATGCTATAGTACGTGTGTTGCACAAAGAACATACTGTCAACGAATCAGACTGTCCTGAATTTCAAGCAAAGTCTTCCCCATCACTGAGCTTTGATCTTGGAGATTCACCTTTATCCACTGAATGGAAAGAGCAAATAACAAAAATGTTAAACACCATGCCAAATGTTTTCTCTCAGAATGACCTGGATTTTGGCCATACTGATAAAGTGAAACACAGAATCAAGCTCAGTGATGAGACGCCTTTTAAGCAAAGAGCACGTCCGATACACCCCAACGATGTAGATGCTGTGAGACAACATCTACAGGAACTCCTAGATTCTGGAGTCATATGGGAATCAAGAGTCTCCATTTGCTTCTCCAATTGTTGTGGTTCACAAACAGAATGGTTCTGTTCGTCTGTGTGTAGATTACAGAAAGCTGAATATGCAGACCATTAAAGATGCCTACGCTCTTCCAGAACTGGAAGATGCTTTCAATGCACTCGCTGGTTCTAAGTGGTTCTCCGTTCTAGACCTCAAGTCAGGCTACTATCATGTCGAAATGCAAGAAGCAGACAAACATAAGACTGCATTTGTGTGTCCAGTTGGATTGTGGGAATTCAACAGGATGCCACAAGGAATAACAAATGCGCCTTCAACCTTCCAAAGACTGATGGAAAAGTGTGTTGGCGATATGAACCTAAAAGAAATTTTAGTGTTCATTGATGACTTGATTATTTTCTCAGCCTCCCTGGAAGAACATGAACAGCGCTTGCAGCGTGTTCTTGAACAGTTGATGACATATGGTTTGAAACTGGCACCACAGAAGTGCAAATTCTTTCAAACATCAGTAAAATACCTTGGTCACATTGTTTCTGAGAGAGGACTTGAAACGGACCCAGAGAAAGTTGCAGCCTTACAGACTTGGCTGATCCCTACAAATCTTAAACAGCTTCAATCTTTCTTAGGATTTGCTGGATACTATCGATGGTTCATTCAGGGGTACTCTACTATTGTAAAGCCACTTAATGAACTAACATCAGGTTATGAGGGTACTTCTTCTCGCTCTTTGAAAGTCCTCGACTCGCAAAAGCTATGACTCGAGATTGACCATCTTGAACCTGATGTAATGCAGCCCCAAGGCCAACAGTGCTGGCATCTGTATGAAAAACATACAGATGCTGGGGGTCTGCAAAACCCAAGACTGGAGCTGATGTTAGCTTTCTTATTATGCCATTGAAAGCTATCTGACATTGAGGTGTCCACCGCTCACCAAAGGACCTTTCTGTCTCTTATTCAGCTTTCTGAGTGGTGGATAACCTTGAATTATTGGCTCTTAAATGTGGAGTCACAGAAAAATGATCTGAGTTCCTATATGGTACAGACTTCACAGTAGTGACTGACAGCAACCCACTTACATATGTTTAACATCCGCAAAGCTTGATGCGACAGGGTACACCAGTCTTTCTACTTACTCATTCAGTCTTCAGTAAAGAGTGGGAAAGCAAAGTCTTGATGCTGACGCACTGTCTCGCGGACCTCAAGCATATGCTATGTGCAATGCTAATATCTCCCGATTGACAGATTAATAAACAAAGACCGCCTCCAAACCCAGACTTGGTGCTTTGTGGTTTGTCCGATCACCACACACAATGCAGAAGTTCACCGGTCACACTTAGCTGTTTGGGTCTAATAAGAAACGATACAAAAACAATAGGCCTTGGCAGCGCTTAGCTGTTCTTTGCTAACTAACCTGTTTCTGTTGATGCAGATCCACATGTAAGGAAAAGAACCGAGATAATCAAGGCAGCGATCATCATGACAAATGTCTTTAAGATGGAGGATTAAAACCCGACAGCCATAGAACTTCACTTTAAGTCAGATTGATTTGTTTCTTCTTCTTTTCTATTATGGCGGATCGCAAGCAACTTTAAGGTGCATAGAGCTGTTGTCCGAAATTCGGTTCCGCTGTCGGGAGCGCGCATTACAGCCAGAGGCGGATGTGACCATTTTCACGTCACTTCTGATCAATTTCTCGGTAAAACTCATATAATCATGTCAAGGTTGTAACATTCAGTTTAATTGGCAGCTGTTGTTTAAAAAATTGTAAAATAAATAAATGAACGAGGTCTTGCTGTTTTGTGTCATTTTAAACACCAAGAGAATCGCTCTTTTTCCAACTTCTCTCACGTAAGCCTGACAGAAATAAAAGTCAGGCACCAAACACAGTTTTCCCAACACGTAGCGTGTATGTAAAGATTTTTGAGAATTTGGAAACAGCTGTCTTTATTCCCCAAGGTTATGGGGTAAGGAGAGGAAAGAATGGATAATTCAGCAGCCTGAAATAATTTGTTCCCCCTCCATAATATGGGAACAACTCAAATTACCAGCAAGTTTTTTTCTCTGTTTATTCCTCTCATGATCAACAATAAATCCTGTGATTTTGGTGGCATTTGCTCCTTATTTGCCAGAGTTATGACGGGGAATCATATATTTTAGGTGACTTATCATACCTTTATAAAATCGTTTTAAGGATTGCTTATCCGCTCCCCAGTCACTGCCAGTCAAGCATCTCAAAATATTTAAGATTTTCTTACATTTATCTACAACTTTTTGAATATGTACATTCTGTGGTGGGATGGTGTTTGCATGGCATGTTTTGTTTATCAATTTATTTCTTTTGGAATGATTTAAATTGTTCTTATTTTCACAGAATCCCCCCTTTCCAGGGACCAAGTAGTACGCCTGAAACGTGTTTTTAAAAAGAGAAGTGTTTTAAAGAAATTGTTCAATAAACAATTGTATATAGTTTATTAAACAGTGTTCTGGTGAGTCCTATAAATAAAAGAAACCCCGCCCCTGGGTCGGGCCACAATTCCATTTTAGTTTTTCATCAAACCATAATCGTAAAAATTTTATACATTTTACTTGCTCTAATTCTTGGTTATATCATTTTAATTTTACTTCCTTGTTTATTTTTTTCTGAGTAAATATCATTACTTTTGTTTTTTCAACTTGTAGCCAGTGCATTATGTTTATTATGCACTGTTCCGTTTGCCCATATAAGGAAGACGCTGTGTTGGAGCGCAGCTGATTCATTACGGAGACAGATAATCGGCATTTACATTTAAAAGATCGCTGAGAGGGTGAGAGTCCAGGCTGATTCCTCTACAGGTATGGTTAACATGAAGCATGCACTGGGTTCAGAATTATTTCTGACGCCTTTATTTTATTGTTGCAGGAAACTTCCTCTTGGAGAGGACATATGGAGCTCTGCTAACTTTTAGAGAAGGAAAAGGCAGCAGGGCCGTGCAGAGACCATTAAAGGGGCAGGTGCTCAAAAAAAAAATAAAAGGGCACATCTAATCGCATTTTAGGACAGAATATTAAAGTCGGACAGCTTTCAGAGTTTAATTAACAATGACAGATCACAAAATTGTGAGACATACAATCAAAGAACATCTGCCTGAGTTGCTGTACTTGCAGTGGAGATGAAGACGGTCCATTCAGAAAAACAGAGCTGCATCAAACTTTAACGTGGAACTACAGGAAAAAAACACAAACAAAAATTTAATTAATGCATGTCACTATGAGAAAAGACTACTCTTAACATAATAAAAGCATAATAGCTGCCTTGTAATATTAAATATGTGTTCACTACCAAAAACTGCAGGTTGATGATGGTCAGAACCTTTACTTTATTTATTCTTACCTGCAGTACTGGTTCTGACCCAGTTGGTCAAGAATCCACTACCTTTGGCTGCTTCTAGCAGATCCTTTCTTTTTTGTTTCTGACGTCTCTTTTTACGTGGCATCTTTGAACTGAAACAAGCAAAACATAATGAATTATGATCAGAACACTATAATAAACCACACTACCAGTTCTTTACCCTTGTGTTTAAACCAATATGTTTTTCAGTTTATAACACAGCATAACAATATTAATTTCAGAGAAAATGAGACCTCTCCTATGGAGTTCAATTTGGTTCACAATTATTCAATTCAAATACTAACCTCAATTAAATAATATAAAATTGTGATCAAGACATTTTGAATTGTAACATTTTTTTCACCAAAAAATGTTTAGCTTAATTTTTTTTTTAAACTGAAATCACAAATTTTTATCTCATGACTTAAAAAAATGATTTGCAAAACAAACAAACTTATTTGCGCATGTCAGAAATCTTTGCTTGCTATTCAAAGTTTTGCTTGTGATTCTCACATGATGTCCTTGGCAGAGCCTGAAATCAAAACCAAAGATTTCTGATGTGTGCAAATAATAGTTTATGTTTGACCCTTCATTAATGACATGCTTTATTGGACAGAAGCAGTTTGATTATTACATACATTATATCCATCATGGTAGTTCAGGATGAATTATTTTTAATTCTAAATGAATGTCCTTGTTGGACTTTTATTTAAGTACTTCAAGATACATTTAGCTAACACTAGAATAAATGCAATGTACATAATTCACCAAAGAAAATGAGAAAATCGGACATATATCCACGATGAAGATGATTCTGGTTTTGTTCGGGCGATGTGCCCCTATTGCATAAATAATGTTGTCATTAACAATACAGGGAAGCTATTTAGTTACCTTGCTTTGCTAGCAAAGTCATTAGCTAGCAGCTAGCTCATAGCACAACAACAACAGCCTAATGTCTGTACGATAAAAATACTGGATCGATAGATATGAACAGCTTTTGCTCACCTGTCTGTCTCCTCCCGCTCAGTAGATATTCAGAGAAAGGTGGACTCAGAGAGCGCCGATATTTTCCTCTTGTTATATTTCATTTCTGCTTAAACCGCGACTCCGTGCTGAAGGAGAAACGATACATTCTACGTTTTCCGTTATCTGTCAAGTAGCAAGCCAACTCCAGTTTTTTCACCAAAAATAATTTTTTTAATTCACCAAAAACGTTCGCTAGCTTGAGCTCCGCAGTTAGCCGCCTTATCTCACCGCGCCAGAGGCAAGTGCGTCGTGCGTCACGGGCAAAAGGTCAAAGGTAACAATGTGACCGGAAAGCTTATTGTGTTGTTTTTCTTGCAAAGTAATAATAATAATAATAATAATAATAATAATAATAATAATAATAATAATAATAATAATAATAATAATTGTAGGACATATGTAAGAGGTCATTGAGCAAGTTTATTATTAGGCAAGTTTATTTCGAGACTATTTGTTGGATCAACAATATATTGTATGGACTGATAATAATCCCCTCAGTCACTTGAACACAGCTAAACTGAGGGCAACCGAACAGCGTTGAGCAGCACAGCTGGCAGATTTTAATTTTTCTATCCGTTACAGATCAGGCCGGGCAAATGTGAATGCGGATGCCCTTTCAAGAAAGCCACCAACAATAACAGCGGTTGATATTCCTCTGCCTGGAACACTGGTTCCCTTGGTGAAGCAGCCTGCCTGCCCTGATGTAATTCAGCATGTGGTCCAAGCTGCAGTGTCTGTTTTCCCCGCTCATACCCCGATGACCTTATTGCACTTCAAGAAGCTGACCCTACTATAAGTGTTTTTGTAAGGTTGTGGAGGGTACAGAGACGTCCAGATAAAGCAGAGAGGGATAGTCTCTCCCCAAAAGTCCTGGAGCTGCTTCGACAGTGGAGCAAGGTGAGGCAGCTGAATGGCTTGTTATATCGCTGTATACAACATTCTGATGGTCGAGAGGATATCCACCAACTGCTGCTGCCCGATTCTTTGAAGGAGGAGGTGATGAAACAGCTTCACCAAAATCATGGCCATCTGCGGGTGGGGCGGACCACTGAACTCATTAGGGAGCGGTGCTACTGGCCACTGATGCACAAAGAGATCAGAGATTGGTGCCAACAATGTGAACGCTGCATATTGGACAAAGCTACACACCCCCAGGCTCGGGCTGCCATGGGGCATTTGTTGGCCTCAAGACCAAACCAAGTCTTGGCAATAGATTTCACTTTGCTGGAACCATCACAAGATGGTAAGGAAAATGTTCTCATCATGACTGATGTGTTTTCAAAATTTACCCAGGCTGTAGCAACCAAAAATCAGAGGGCCTCTACTCTTGCTAAGATTCTTGTACAAGACTGGTTCTACAAGTTCGGTGTTCCAGCCAGACTACACTCCGATCAGGGCCGTAATTTTTAAAGTGCATTGATCCAGCAGGTGTGTGAGTTGTATGGAGGGCAGAAGACTCATACTACCCCCTACCAGCCTGAAGGTAATGGCCAATGCGAAAGATTTAATAGGACGTTACGTTATCTGCTTCGAACTCTACCTATTGAGAGGAAGGGAAACTGGCCTCATTATTTGCCTCGAGTGCTGTATTCCTATAATACCACAGTCCATCAGTCCACGGGTGAGTCTCCTTACCTTTTGATGTTTGGCCAAGATCCATGTTTACCTGTTAACTTTCTCCTTGGAAGGGTTCCAGAGATTCGAGAACAGAGAGTGGAGGACTGGGTCCAAGAGCATAGGCACAGACTACAAGTTGCCTTTGATGGGGCTCAAGATTACCTGAAAATGGCTGCGGACCACCGGACAAAGCGCAATGATGCCAAAGGCGTGCACTATGTTCAAGACCATAGTAATAAAGGAAGGAATAAGATTCAGGATGATTCAGGATGAAGGACTCAGGAGAGGCAAGGACATCACCAACATTAGGGAGGAGGATGCGAACGAGGAACCTGATTTCGTTTATGTGGTAACTCGATCAACGGCTGTGGAGGCTCTTGCCTCCACAACTTCGGTGGCTTCTCTACGAGGAAAACAGCCGGTTATCATTCGAACCCCCATCATCTTCCAGAGAGGCCAAGATGTAGGGCAGAAGGCGCTACAGTCTCTCAGATCACTGGTGCGGTTAACAGCGTGGCTGACATTTTTCGACCATGGTGTCAGTAAGATAATTGTATATTGTCGGGCGGTCAACACAAAAAGTTGGGGTAGATTGTAGCCGGGGAATTATGTTCAT